GTAAAATTGCAATGGCAGAATTAAGTTCAGAAAGACAATACGACACAAAAAACAAGGTTACCATATAGCGTTGCATATTAATACGCCCATCACATATTGAATGAGCAATTTTACATTGAATAAAGGGGCATATCTCAGTAAATTACAGTCAGTTAAGGATGGTTATCAAACTCATTTGCACTTTCACAGTTATTAACCTTCCCGTGGAATTTGAAGTGAATCCATTGGAAATAATTGAGATATCGATGTTCAGCAATTGATTAAAGGGCAATAACTCAGTAAATTAGTCAGATAATGGTGGTTATTGATCTTGTCTAAGAACTTATGGTTATTTACCTTCCCAAGAAGTTTGAATTTAATCTTTTGAAATTACTTGAGATATTGAACGGACACCATGCAGGTCAGCCTGGATGTAATAACATAATATGTCTGGTCTTTTGACAGACTATAAAATGGTTAGGGGAGATAATACTATCATTACTGGAGAAAAAGTCATAACAAGAACTAAGGATAAATGATGAACTCTCCAGGGAAGAAAGATGTTTTGAGCAGCCCACAATCTGATGATGGTGTGCTTAATACACTATCCAAGTGTATTATTTTGCATAGTTCACTCCTGTGAACTTGGAATGTATGTCAAATGCCCAAATATCATCATGCTATTCAGAATACCTTATTGAGGTGTTTTAACACAACTGATGTTGACCTTGACCTTTCAAGTGACCTTCAAAGTATAATTATAAGGGGAGGGAGATGCCACAATGTATGATGAAAGATGATAAACAAGAAAATGTCTGCAAGACATAAATGCCCCTGCTGCCATGTGAAATTAGTTTGTGTTCTATAAAAAGTTACAACCACTTTGATCTTGATACCCTGAAACATGCACACCCACAAGGTACTACACTTAAAGTTGATTTTAATACTCATGTTATTTCTGTATGTTATTACCATATCCATAACATATTGAATGAAGTTGCTAAGTGTTTAAATTGAATCAGTAGATGATTTTCTATATATAGTAACAGTGACCTTGGCCTTGAACTTGGAACCCTGAAACACAACAATGTCCAAAGTATACCTATACTTGACCTTTGCATTAAGTTTGACCAAAATCCATGAAAGAATGAAGTTGCTAAGTGTTTAAATTGAATCAGTTGATGATTTTCTATATATAGCAAGTGTGACCTTGGCCTTGACCTTGGATCCCTGAAATACAACGATGTCCGAAGTATACCCATACTTGACCTTTGTATAAAGTTTGACCAAAATCTGTCAAAGAATGAAGTTGCTAAGTGTTTACATTGAATCGGGACGGGACGGGACGATTTTCTATATATAGCAAGAGTGACCTTTGCCTTGACCTTGGATCCCTGAAATACAACGATGTTCGAAGTATACTCATACTTGACCTTTGTATAAAGTTTGACCAAAATCTGTCAAAGAATGAAGTTGCCAAGTGTTTACATTGAATCAGGACGGGATGGACATGGGTAACACTATATGACCATAACAAAAAAGACCATAAAACACCATAAAAAAACAAATCATAACATACATGTATAAGTAAATTACTGTTTATTATCGACATGAATTTGCATTCCTAGGTATACCCACGGCTTCAGTTTACAAACAGGTAACAAGTACATAGATTTATTGTTACTCCTCAATTGTATAAAGTAGTTCTAGATGCTCTTCACTTCCAAAATTATGTTAATAACAGTAGAAATGTCTTTGGAAATATTAATTCCTCACATACATACAATGCTGTATTTATCATATCTTACCTCACATACATACAATGCTGTATTTATCATATCTTACCTCACATACATACAATGCTGTATTTATCAAGTCATTCATTTTCTGCATTCAAATTTCCACTTAGTTTTTTTTTTAATTCAAATGAATAAATTAGCTCTGTAGTCTACATCACACTTTTAACAAACACCACTGGTTCCTCTACAATGCAACATTTTCATTTATACATGTGAATATTTAAACATCCCTTTTTCTACATCAATTTATTACTTATACCTCAGAAATTTTAAACATCAGAACATTTAAACAACGCCTTCTCCATATCAATTTATCACTTATTCCTCAAAACAGTTAAACATCACCTTCTCCACATCAATTTAAAACTTATACATCAGAACATTTAAACAGTATTCAACATACATATTAACAAGCCATTCCCACAAACAGTGGTAATCTAAATGATGAAACATTTGCTGGAACATACAATGATTATAATGCTGTGATTTCTAAAACAAGAGGCCCAATGGGCCTGCATCACTCACCTGGTATTAATCTCACACTTTTAATCTCATCTTAAAAGTGGACTAAAATACAGCTACAGGCAGAATATCAGTGTTTGATTCATAGGAACCTATTAAAAGATTTAACATATGATGTCTGTGACCTTGAATGTCCAACAAGGACATAAGGTTGAACAGAGTTTATAGTCTTCCAACCAAGCATGCTTCTGGCAAAATATCATTACCCTGGACCTTTTGGTTATACAGAACAAATCATTTAAAGATTTAAACATATATTGACCACTGTGACCTTGAATATGGGTGAAGGTAATTCACTTGGTAGTCCTTCATCCCAGCATGTTAAAGGCCAAATATCATCACTCTTTGCCTTTTGCTTATTAAGAAGTCATTCAATGGTTTTAAACATATTTGACCCCTGTGACCTTTAATATATATGTCAAGGTCATTCATTTGAACAAACTTGGTAGTCCTTCATCCAAGCATGTTATTGGCATTATACTAGGCCACTTGGTTATTAAGAAGAAGTTGTTTAAAGGTTAAAAACATATTTGACCCCTGTGAACTTGAAGATGAAGGTCATTCATTTGAACAAACTTTGTAGCCCTTCATCACAGCATGTTACTGACCAAATGACATCACCCTAGGCCTCAGTTATTCAGAAGAAGTTGTTTAAATGTTTTAAACATATTTGACCCCTATGACCTTGAATATAATGCAAGGTCATTTATTGGAACAAAGTTGGTAGCCTATATCCCAGCATGTTACTGGCCAAATATCATCATTCTAGGCCTCTTGGTTATTCTGAAGAAGTTGATGAAAGATTTTTACTTATTTGACCCCTGTGACCTTGAAAATTGATGAAGGTCATTTATTTGAACAAACTTGGTAGCCCTTTATCCGAGCATGCTTCTGGCCAAATATCATCACCCTAGGCCTTTTGGTTACCGAGAAGAAGTTGCTTAAAGTAAAAAATTGACGACGGATGGACGACAGAAGGCGCACCATGCCATAAGCTTACTTGTTTGTGCATGCAACTGTACATTTAACCGATGTAGTAAGTTTTTAATGTCAGTACAGAAATCCAGTCTCTTAAAACCTTGCATCAAAATCAACACTTGGTCCTGAAGATGCCCACATGTTCGGGCGAAACCGGTAGACATACAATAAGGAAACCAACCTATCCTGAGCTTGTTGCGATTGAATTTTGCCTTTAGTTTCCCGTTCCTCAATTGCCCTGCATACCCCTGGGTATCCAAGCAAGGGATAACGGAACCTACAGAATCCAGACTAGAAGTACGGCGTTGGCTCTACACCCGATGATTTTTAGAATCAACACTTATTTTATTCAAGAAACAAGTGAGCACTGGACATGTACAGAACTATTATACATTTCACACTGAACATAATGTGATAATGTAACTTTCCATATATGAGTATTAGTTAACTGAATTCAGTATCCAGCACCCCTGGTTCTTAAACTATACATATCATCCATTTCTGTTCAATATCCCTAAGAAAAACCAAGATTCTTCACAGGTTCACAAGTAACCCACTAGTCACCACCACAAAGTTTCAAAAAGTTTAGGTAGCAAATAAAATAGGGGACACATCCTGTCAATAAGTTGACTTCAGTAGACAGTGTGGGTGAGGCGGGGCTGGTACTAAACATACATTTGTTCACAGAAACATAAGGAATGGCCCTTCATAGGGTAATTGTGATATGTGCCTTAAATCTGAATAATTTGGTTCATGTAATGTGTCTATTATCTTCAATGCTTCGTAAGTATAAAGATATGCCACTCTGGGTATCTTTGTTATTAAGTATAAGTGTCTTTAAATACTTTAAAAAAAATTGAACCCTGTAACCTTGACATTGGGTCAAGGTCATTTATTTGAACACATTTGGAGCCCTTAATCCCTGTCTGGTGCTGGCCGAATATCATAACGCTAGGCCTTTTGGTTTTTGAGAAGAAATTGTTAAAGAGTACCACATTTGACCCCTGTGACCTCAAAAGTACTTCAAGGTCATTCATTCAAGGATGATACTGGCTGAATATCATCACTCTGGGATTTTTGAGTATTGAGAAAAAGTTGTTTAAAACTTTTTTTAAAACATTTTACCCCATTGAGCTTGAAAGAGGGTCAAGATCATTCATTTGAACAACTTGGTAGCCCTTCACCTTAGCATGATTTCAGCTAAACGTCATCATCCTCTGCCTTTTAGTTATTAAGAAGAATTTGTTTTATAAAGACATTTTTACACATTTGATCACTGTGATCCTGAAAGTGGATCATAGTAATTTGTTTAAAGACCTTGGTAGTCTCTAGCATGCTTCTGGCCAGATATCGCCACCCTGGGCCTTTTGAGCATTTAGAAGAAATTGTTTAAATATTTTCCTTTTTTTTTTAGTTTGACCCCAGTGACCTTGAAAGAGGGTAAAGGTCTTTCATTTGAACAAAATAAGATATTTTTACCCTGGACTTTTTTTTATTGAGAAGTTGTTTTCAAAAGATTTGTTTTGACCTTAAAGTCAGTTAAGATAATTGATTTGAACAAACTTACGTGTAGTAGTCCTTCATCCCAGCATGCTACTGGCCATATATCATTATAAATGCACGATGCCTTTTGGTTTATTTTTAAGATTTTTAAAAATAGATATGACCACTGTGACCTTGAAAGTGCATGTGAACGAAACATCCAGCATGCTACTGGCCAGATATCATCACCCTGGGCCTTTAGGGTATCGAGAAGAAGCTGTTTATTTTGTTTTTACACATTTAACCCCTGTGTACTTGGAACTCATTCTTTAATCCAAAATTACCACTGCATATACTAACTTCCTGTTATTCTATCTCCCCTCCCCATTTATTGAATATTGTTAAATGAGGTAAGCGTATAAAAGAAGCTTTGACAGTGTTGAATTAAGACTTCACCACATGTGTGTCCAATGATCATACAATACTTTTCAGTCAAGTTATTACAAAAGGATGGCCCTTAACAGCACAAGTCCTTTTCAAAGTAGTACAAATGTTGCTAGTTGTATGTAACAGTGTTTCCTTACATAGTAATTTAGATTATTTGGTGATATGTGATCTAATGTACTGGGTCAAGGTTTTATGACAAATGTCCATACAAACTATATATAGCTACCTGTACTGTTACTTATAGCCTATAGACTATATACACACAATCATTAAGCTAATCTATCTATCCATGTTTAATCACACATGTTATTTATACCCAAAACATAACTGAAAGAAACACTTGTGTTCATATACACAGCACCCTCTACTGTATATGGACCTAGAAGTATGTAAAAGTGCCTGGTTGCCAAAAAATATCAAAACACTAAGTATTCTGGCATCTGCAAAGAAAGTCATCCATATTATCAGATGTCTGGACAATCATTTGATAACTCCACTATTTAATGAATCTTCAGTCAATGCATGGATGCAGAGTTTGAAGTGTCAGAAGTGTCTGAGGAGGTGATAAGTAATCACCAATGGACAGGAATGATGAAGGACAAACAAGAGTAATATTAAAAATATCACAGCCTTATAGCTTTGATAACATCCAGGATAAGCAGGACATCGCCATTGACTCTACATAAATAATGTTGTTTAGGGATATTTAATTGAACACCACAATCAGGTGTAGTTAACTATCAACTTGATATCTTCAATAAAGAAGACATCATGTATTGATATTTATTACAGTACTAGTCATTGGTGTTTTTGATACATTTCACTGACCACTAGTCAGTATTTTTGCTAGTACATGTATCATATTTGAAATCCATTGACCTCCTGTTACAGCTTATGTGCTGGTGTTCCTGCCATAGTTAGCCCGAGTTTCCTCGGGCCATACCAGACATCTACATTTTATCTATCAAAATGTCCAAGTCTGGTGTCAGGGCCAGAGGAAACCAGGGCTATATGCCATAGTATGCCATTTTTGATATTCATTTACAATTACCATCAGTTGGTCTAGGAACTGGTGTTCCTGCCAAAACACCAATACCATGTACAGTATTTAGTACTGTATTTCTGCCATCTTTGAAATCCACTGTTTGCTGGTCAGTCCATGTGTTGGTATTTCTACCACAGTATGTGTAACAGTGTTTCCGTCTCTGATACATTACTGACCACTGGTCAGTTTGTGTGCTGGCTTTCCTGCAACAGTATACTAGGTCAGATCCATGTACTGTGTTTGTGCCATCTTAAAAACCTTATCTTTTGACCACTGGCATGATCAGTCTATGTGCTGGTGTTCCTGCCACAGTATGCGTACCTTAGTAATACACTGCTGGCCATAAGCAGACTGGACAAAGACAATACTGGTGAAAACTAGGACGAAGAGCCATGCCACCCAAAGAAGATAGTCCGACTCCTCTGTTGGTACGCTCGACAGGGGCCCTTCATAGTCCTCTGTTGTCACATTCACCGAACTGTTTGGCTCCAGACCTGTAAACAGAAAAAAATGAGATCAGACTCGTATCAGATTCCACTTTGTGTACTGTAGCTGTACATTTCAGCATCCATAAACAATTACGCTCTTTATAAAGGATTTTGTTTATGGCGTGTAGATTATTATTTGTACCACAAAACAAGAGGCCCAGAGAGCCTGTATCGCTCACCTGAATATGTTAAAAATAATTGGTATGAAGCAAAGATATAGCACTCTATGGTAGGTGCTCTAAGTACATATGAAATTTCAGAAAGATCCATCCAGTACTTGATATACAACAAATTTCAAACACCACTATGCCCCAAGAAGGATTTTGAAGGTTTTACCGCCCCTCTGCCCCCAGGGGGGGCCACACCCACCATTTATACAAAATTGAGTCCCCTTCGCCTAAGGATGCTCCAGACCAAATTAAGTCAAAATCTACTTGGCCGTTCAGGACTAGTAGCGTTTTAAAGGTAAAGTTGACAGACGGACGGACGACGGACGCTGCGGTATGGCATAAGCTCACCATGGTCCTTCAGACCAGGTGAGCTAAAAACAAAGAGAAGGCAATTAAAAACAATTGGTTAATTAAATATTGGGGCTATTTTTCTTGGTGCATCTTTTTTACAATGCACATGCATAGATGCCCTATCAAAGCAACAAAATTGCCTTGCTATGCAATTATAGCCAAAATATGGTGTTTTTGGACAGTTAGCATGCAGAAATGAAAGCCTCCGCATGTGACTAACAAAAACTCCATTTTATGAATGAACACTGGTATGACAATATTTAAGCATATCAAATATTTATTTGTTTGTTGCATGCAGAGGCTTTCAAAGTTTAGAGTGTTTAGTTATCAGGTAATTTCCTTCAAAAGGGCAAATTTTCATCCAAATAGCGCATAACAGACAATATTCACGCCTTTTACTAAAAAATATAGGTTCATGTTCCATTTCTCCTAAACTAGTTGTCGAATGCATTTGAAGTTTCATATTGCGTACTTCATTTACTCTATATTACGAATATAACAACTAATTCTTAACCCCCGATTAGGCCAGAAATGACCGTTAACGCCCCTGGTCTTTTGTGAAACGGGGATCTTGAACCTTAACTTTTTATTCTCATATGTTATATGCCACTATGCAAATGTTATATTGTATAATAACCTCAATAAGATTCATCAGTCTTGAAAGAACTAATATCAAAGTTTTACTTTATACACACACACGTTGCAATGTTTCAAGACAGACTGGCCCCTTTGTCAAGCTAAGAATGAGTGAGCGATTTGTATTGTTACCTGTACAACGGTTTGACAAAATCGTGTATTTCATATGATACCGTGTATAGATAGGCAAAATGAATTTTGAAAGCGTAAGCTTGTCATCCAATAAAAAAAATAAACTGTATAAAATTTCACAATTTCTGAAAAAAAACTCATTTTTGAAAATGAAGCATGTGGTGACGAATGATTTGGTGACCAAATCACACACAGTCCCAACATGTCCAACCCATAACATCACTTCATTCCTATACCACTTACTGCAAAAAGAAAAGCAATATGACAAACCTGTAATATTCCTGACAAATGATATTAAACTGTCAAAACTTTTATCTGTCTGGTTAAACCTGACCAATGCCCTGGACTGGTGAAACAGCAAGATGTTTGGTACCAATACAGTTCCAAATCTGGCATTGAGGCTGAAAGAAATGAAGCACCTTTAAAATGTATAAGCCTAAGGACAAATATTTTTGACATTAAATACAACAACTCTGCTTTATTTATTTGATGTAAATAGTATCTCTCACATTTTTATCACTTATGTATATCCTGAACAAGATTTTCATGGAAAAGCTTTTATAAAACTTTACAACTATTGTCTAATCCCATTGGCTTCTTGGCATTTTATTTTTTAGATTTCCTTTATTTCAATTGAAACATTCTATAAGAACGAGGTTAACAACTTCACATGATAGTTAAGAAAAAAAAACGGCACACTAAGGAAACACTACGAAAACTGCAATGAAAGATCTTGCCTACCCACAGAAGGGTCATCGACACACGATTCCAGTTTAGCTAAAAACACAGTTGACTCACATCGGCCCCGTAACTGCCTGTCATCAGAGTTCACAAAATATCATATATATTGACCCGGGGTGAAGAGACATAAATGCTTACTTGCTGAACTGTGCTGCATCCACTGCCAATACCTCGAGTTGAGGAAATGCCCTGGCCAAGGCATTGTAGTTAGGTGCCATTTTGGCACAAAAAGGACACCATGGGGCAAAAAACAATACCAGGACACAGTCCGACACACTTTCATTCTTGTCAAAGTTAAGTGTATTTAAAAGTCCAGTGTTGTTAACAATTTTTACAGTCTCATCCGTTACATTTATGTCGGTAAAGTTCTTGCCATTACATTGAAACCTGACCTTTTTGTCTGTTTTATTTGTAAGTTCATCATCTTCCCCTGAAGTCTTGTCTAATGTTGCATTGTCCACAACTTCAGAGAGATTCAGAGATGAGTCATTACTATCAAAGGAAGGCATATCAGCCAACACTCCAGAACCGCCTTCCAACACAGGATCTACAATGCTTTTGAGAATGTTCCCAAATGACAAGTAACGGTAACTCTGGTTTGTAGTCTCGCTATTGACATCTGCCTCCTCCTCTAGATCTATCTTCTCTCCTCCATCTTCTGTTTTATCAGATGAGACCTCCTTATTCTGAACAGCCTCTTTATGCTCTTGGCCAATGTTTATTTGATCGTCTACAACCTTTTCTCTCCCGCCTACAACAGAATCTCCTTGATCCTGAATGGATTTGCTCCTATCAGTAGGAACTTGTTCACTATGTTCTGAAGGAAAAGTCTTCCCATCCTCTTTAGAACTTGATCTTTTGTCAAAATCATCATCCAGACCAGGATCCCTTTCCTCCCGATAAGGTGAGTCAAATTTCCCTTCTATATCAGAGTCTATGCTGGCATCTTTCATTGAAGATGAACTAGGAACTTCAGTGATTATCTGAGAATCAGTCACTGTAGCCCGGTAGATGATATCCTCCTCAGATTTTTCACCGCCCTTGTCATTTATTTCAGCATTTACCATGAAGTGTGCCAATAGGTATAATAAGAATCCTGAAAATCATAAACAAATATGATTACACTTTAATATGAAAATGTAAGGTAAATTGTATCACTGCATAAGTTATAATTAGAAAGAGTTCTACTCAAACCTGCTGAAGCAATTCAACATACATAGAAGATGAAGCAACCAAAGTGACTTTCATTTTTCTGGCTTAGCGTTACTTCCCTTACAAGGTGCTTTCTCTCAGTTATTCTAAGATTTTGCCCACACATGAACCTTATGGCCCATCAGTTGTGTTCACATTTGATACTGCACATTTATAATTCCTGAATAGCAAAGCAAAGGGTTGGCAGTGTAAAAGTCTGTAGTTTGACCCTACAGTTTTTGGTTTTTGTTGTTTTATTTCTCTTTTCAAATATTCATATTTCAAATAACTGTAATTCTATAAAATGCATATAGCACATAATTGATATGCATTGTTGAAAAGGATGAACACAGTATTTCCCTCTGGCCTAGTCTTTCTTCACTGAACTGAAAAATTACATATGAAATAGATTACAACTCTTTTTAGAACTTAATATTGAAAATACTAAACAAAATGAATTATTTGAATTTGTCTCACTCCCTTTATGGGCTCCAAATAATTATTTATATCTGTTAGGGTGATTGTAAACTCTGCAAATATATTTCCAGTGCTGCATTAGTCTAAGTTTCAGGTGTTTCAACGCCCACCCCCTCCCACCCGGCGACCAGGTAGCTCAATTGGTTAGAGTGTCTATCTAGAGTTCAGAGGGTCCCAGGTTCGAACCTCGGTCTAGCCATGCATTTCTCTTTCTTCTGTTGCAGATACCTGTTTGGGCTACATAAATAGGTTATCTTAATTTCTGATGATTTGCATCAGAATTCATTTGATGCGACATTGAAGCATTGCCATATTGTGATGTTTGGCTTCATGTACAACCTTATCTTTGCTGAAATACAAAAATGTACATGCTCTTTGAGTTTACTATGGGCGTGCAGGATGGTTTGATTTTCTTTGTTTTATATCCTATTAACAATAATTTAAGGATGTGTCAGCTTTTATTGGTAGAGGAAAGCCAGAGTACCCAGAGAAAACCCATCAACTTGTGGCCAGTACTTGGCAACTGCCCCATGTAGGCCTAAAACCTGCGACCCAGTGGGGAATGGCTAGTGATCATAGACAGTTAGACTTTGTTTTCACTTAATTGGACCTGAAGGATATGGAGTATGAAAATTATTTTCTACAGGTATGTTTTATAAGTGGTATTAGTATCCCAAGAAGCTGGATCAGCTTACATTGACGTCACCACTACATGAAAACTAGTATATGAATTTATGAAAATTTGAATTTTCACACTGATGAGTTATACTGAAAACTTACCAAACATTTTTATACAACCTGTCTAGTATGTAATTATATCTATGATAGATACTATCTAATCACTTGCAGATTATATCAACACCATTTAGATATAATTTTGCAAGTTATAGTGAGAATAGAGAAAATTTGATTTTGTAAAACATCAGTAACACAATTCCACAACTGGTAAGTATAAATGGCCTAAATATACAAGTTTTAGGTATATCTCAGTTATAAAACGACTTCAATGGCTTAGATCCAATTCTGAAGAACATTTAAACATAATTTGTTTTTACTGAATTAACAAACAAAAAAACAAAAAAATCAGCACTAGGTGTATCCCCAAATGGAACAATTCAGCACCACTAGGGTTAATAACCACCATGGCCCTGGCCAGCAGGAGCTGGGCCACTATATTGTTTAGAAACTGAAAATGCATATCTTCAGAGCTGAACATGATTATTTTTCTGTAGGACAGCATTACTTAACTGTTATGTATAATTAGTAATCACGTAAAAGAGTTTACGTTTATAAACATATGACAGTTAATATTTTATTTAAGACAGATGTATAAGATGTATGCATTGTATACATCAGTGTGTTGCACATGAAAAAATGCTCAAAGTCCCATCTAAATGAAAAAGAGCAATTGCACAGATGTAGATATATTTTGAAAACCACATTCCATTAGGTATGCAGCGTGCAGAAAAGGGAAATGTGTATTAGTTGTATCCCAAAAAGTTAACACGTTGCACACCATTTGAGGCAAGGTAGTCTAGTGGTAGGATGCCGGGCTTGTAATTGTAGGGTTGCAGGTTTGAGTCACAGCACAGCTCTGTGTTGTTTGTATCTTGGAGCAAGATACTTTACTCTGCTTGTTCCAGTCTACTCGGCTGTAAATGAGTATGCGGTTGGGCAGTGCTAGAGTTATTGAATGCTAGCTGTTAGCGCTGAAATGGCAGCTCCAGCTAAATGCTCCCCAGGGAATTCAGAAAGATATTACTGGGCTGGTTGCAAAGGCCTTATAACCAAGGATAATAATTTGTGAACCGCTTTGAGACGACCTACACACTAGGAACCTTAAATTATTATTATTATAATAATTATTATTGTTTGTGTAGGGCTATCACAATATATTGGAAAGCCATTATATCACAGGTATAATCTTACAAAAATGAAATATTACTGAATCACAGTACTTTTCAAAAGCTGATTGTTATGCAAAACTTTATTACTAGGTGTTTAACTTTGAAAATTACTATAAATTCAACCAGATATTCCATCATACAGAGGCTATACTAATGGTGGGAATCAGTTGAAATTGCATAATCAGTGGTTGGTATAACATTAAGATACCCATGGGCCTTAATAGTCACCCGAGTCCTACAGTATTTATTTTTGTTGTTGAAATATGAAGTGGATATATTGATGTCAATAATCCCTACCAATTTGAGTAAAAAATAGGTAAGCATAATGTTAAGTAAAGTTAATCAGGACCTTGAGTTGATCATTCCTAGATCGTCTTACAGTAAAATCAGCCTATTAGAACTTGATTTTAAGTTTGAATTTTTTCTTCTTCTCAAAATGGTGGCCATATTGGATTTTTGATTGACCAGAAAAGAATGAAAAAAACACTTTGCCAGGACCATGAGTCGATCCTTCCTACCAAGTTGCAGTTAAATCAGACCAGTAGAACTTTACTTTAAGTTTGAAATAGTTTTTCAAAATGGCGACTGTGGTGGCCATATTGGATTTCTGATCGACCCAAAAATAACAGCTCTTTGTCAGGTTTATGAGTCGATCATTCCTACCAAGTTTCAGTTAAATCGGCCCAGTAGAACTTGACTTTTAAGTTGGAAATATGTTTTTCAAAATGGCGGCCGCGGCGGCCATATTGGATTTCTGATCGACCCGAAAAATAACAACAGTTGTTCAGGGAGATGTCAGTAATATTCCCATGAAGTATCAATGAAATCCCTTCGACAACATTTCAGCTTTTAAGTTGAAAATGTAAAATGTTAATGCACGACAGACGAAGACAGATAGCAATAGGTCACTTGAGCTAAAAGCTCAGGTGACCTAAAAATATTAAATTTCATGTGATCCAGATTGATATGATTCAGTTTGATAACACTCTGACACCAGTTTCTTTTTTCCAATTTAACACCTTTTTCCTTTGACAATTATATTAATATATATAAGGACATACAATGTACTAGGGTAGCAGAGTACAGTAGAAATGGCCTGATACTAAAAATAAAGGGCATGTCTCAGATAAACATGGATTGTGGATTCATCCTGCACAACACACCTACATATATATATCTATTTATAAACTACATTTTGACTACATTTATTTAAGAAGAATGATTCTTTTTCCAAAAAGTGTTTTCCCAAGATTTGGGACTTGTGAAAACCATGGTTACTACATCAAACAAGAGGCCCTAGGGCCTTAACGGTCACCTGCGTCCTACAGTATTATTTTTGTTGTTGAAATATGTACCAATTTGAGTAAAAAATAGTTAAGTAAAATGTTAACTTAACTTTGTCAGGACCATGAGCTGATCATTCCTAGACCGATTTTCAGTGAGATCGGCCTATTAGAACTTGTTTTTAAGTTGGAAATGGGTATTTACAAAATCGCGGCCATGGCAGCCAAATTGGATTTCTGATCGACCCGAAAAATAACAACACTTTGTCAGGACCATGAGTCGATCATTCCCACAAAGTTTCAGTTCAATCGGCCTAGCAGAACTTGACTTTAAGTTTGTATAGTTTTTCAAAATGGCGGCCATGGCGGCCATATTGGATTTCAGATTGACCTGAAAAATAACAACACTTTGTCAGGAGCATGAGTAGATCATTCCTACCAATTTTCAGTCAAATCAGACCAGTAGAACTTTACTTTAAGTTTGAAATAGTTTTTCAAAATGGCGGCCGTGGCGGCCATATTGGATTTCTGATCGACCCGAAAAATAACAACACTTTGTCAAGACCATGACGCGATCATTCCTACCATCTTTCAGTTCAATCGGCCCAGCAGAACTTGACTTTAAGTTTGAAATGTAAAATGTTAACGGATAACGGACGACGGACGACAACGTAGGAAAACGGATAGCAATATGTCACTTGAGCTAAAGCTCAGGTGCTCAAGTTAACGCCGGCCGGCCAGACAGACAAACCCATACCATAATACTCCCGTCAAATTTGACGGGAGTATAAAAAGCATGCAACATTTAAACCAATTAATCGATTATGAAATTTATTAATCAATTAAAGTTGGTTTTACAATCGTTTGATTTTCGATTATAATCGTTAAACTGAACAACATTAGTGTATACAATCTCATTCTCTGTAATAATCAATACCTACCATTTAAAGTACTGTATAAATTATCTACTTATTTCTCTGCTGTAACTAAAATGGGAGATGACATATAAACCTTGCCTTTATCAAATCCCTTTTTTTAACCATAAAATATCTTGAATTTGATTTCTTGTGTATTGCAATACACAATGATCTACAGTTGTGTCCTAAAGTGTTTACAATATAATCAATGTTTGATAATTATATTCCAATTATCACACTTTTTTTTCAGGAATGTTGAAAATGTTATGGCTGAAAGAAAATACAATAATGTATACTCCTTGTATATATACTTAGTCTGAGTTTGCTGTGGCCCTTACACCAGACTTAGACATTTTAACATCTGGCATGGGGCCAGAGCGCACTGCTACATGAAAACATGGAATTCTCCGACACCATTTGGTATCAGGGAGTGACTAATCAACAAAAAGGCACGGTCTGGAAATCTTCTTAACAAGAATAATATACTCCATTTTAGGTCCTGATCATGTTCAGTATTGTTTGCTGATTAGTCACCCCATGACTGAAAAATGGTGATCGCTCAGGTGGGAAATTTTGAACGATTGAAAATTGAGGACTCTGCTGACGGAATTTAGCAGCTGTTGATGTTAATAAGAGCTGATTTTGATCAAAAGTTAATCCATTTATCGATATATGTGAGGTATGTGTTGTCATAACTCTCTGATTCAACATTTTTCATAAAGCAGTGCGCTCTAGATCTGGCCCCACACCACACATCTACCACAGTATATATCAAAATGCCTAAGTCTGGTGTTAGGGCCAGAAAAAACTCGGACTAATATATACTGTTATAAGGATGCAGAAACTGCAACCATAGCTCTTCTAAATAAACAGGAGTTTGCCTTAAATTTACATTAGCAAATTTATCAGTGACAGTAAAATGTGCAGTCAATGTATATAAGGAGCATAACAACTATGACCTCACAATACCTGTTTTCAAAATAAACAGTCTCCTGATGAACGGGGAATCAACCCGAGAAAGGCCTAGAGACGCTATCTCTGTCTTTTGTTCTATTTTTTATAAGGAGCATAATATATAACAATAAATGCACTTCACTCGTACAAGAATGATAACGACAACTTTCAGCGGGTTAACAACACGAGTTAGAAGAGATACGGCTGTCGGCTATACAGTGTTGCATCTTCAAAATCTGCAGCAACTGCAGAGAATTAACTAAATTTAACTATAATGAAATTAGTTCGCAACCTTTGTAACCACCCACTGCACATGTAAATAATTTTCACTAGTTTTTGAGAAATAAAGTCTTCTTCAATGCCTCCAAATGCAACCGGAAGTGCAATGGACAGAATTAAGAAGCACCTCGAGAAGCGACTAGACGCTTACAACGGTGTCACCTGCAATGAACCAATAAAAAAAAATCAAAGGGAATGTTATAAAAACCACAACTCTCCGATCAGTTTTCTGACACTAAATGACGTTTCAGTATCTTGTACTATCTCTTAAACAGTTAAACTTGTGCGTTAAAGCCATTTTGGTCTCTGTGGAGTATAACATATAGATATATAGATGCGAAAGGTTAGGTAGGCTGCCTGCAGTACTGCCAGTGCCAGAACTTGCAGAAGGGACTTGGTACTCAAGAGTCATCAGTTTCTATGCCACGCTGTCATGGTATATGGTAAAATAAAAGGAATTCGTATTAATGACAATGGGACTGTTCACGCAATATATCCCTTTGAACGTCTAGTTAATGTATACTTAATAAATCTGCCCAAATAACAACCTGACAGCCACATTGATACAGCCATCTTTCTGCATTCATGAAGTCTGTTTGTATGGAGCATTCTGATTGGTTGCTAATTCATATCTGTTCATATTCTGAACCAATCGAACGTATTCACACAAGTTCTTGACAGCGCACCATATCGGCAAACCCTCGTGGTCACAGGGAATATAGGGCCTCGAATATATCTACAATTCATTCGAAAAGGCGGAGGAAATGGCTGTGTACAACCACTCGTTTGTGTTCGAATTCGAACAACAATATGACCGGGTCTCTTTTAGAGAGTACATGCAGCGACATTGGCGCGACAGCTTCATTTATTCAGCTGTCTATGTCCTTGTTGTGTTTTCTGGAAAGAAATGGATGGAGAATCGACCTCGTTACGAGTTGAGGCCCTACCTTGCCCTTTGGAGTGCGCTTCTGGGTGTATTTAGTATATTTGGGGCAGTAAGAACAGTTCCAGAACTGGTTTCCTCCGTGAGAGACTATGGGATGGAGTATTCGCTATGCAACCCGGTGTACCTTGAGGGCGTGACCGGGTTCTGGTGTTGCATGTTTGCAGTTTCGAAAGTGTACGAACTTGGAGACACTATTTTTATCGTTCTACGTAAGCAACAACTAATATTCTTGCACTGGTACCATCACATCACTGTTTTAATTTATGTATGGTATATGTACCCAGCAAATCTGGGATTTGGAAGATGGTTTATGGGAATGAACTACACCGTGCATTCCATTATGTACACTTATTACGCAGTACGAGCGATGAAATTCCAAGTCCCCAAGTTTGTCAGCATGATCATTACGATTCTTCAATTGAGCCAAATGATAGCCGGTTTCGTCGTCACATATATGACCTACCTGCTGAATCTAAAGGGTATTAAATGTAGCCTCAATGACCAGCCGATCAAGTATGGAATGATAATGTATGGAACATATTTCATTCTCTTTGCTCACTTCTTTTATTCAACTTATATTGCTGAGAAGCCCAGATTACACACTTCTGAAATAACAGATGGAAAGAAAATGAGTTGATGGTCCTGCAGATATATGTTATTCCATTTCGTTTACTCAAAATTCAGACTTCGTACCACACATGTTGAACTAGAATTTTCAGTAACATTTGCAATACAATAACTCGTGTTAAAAATTGTGTAAACATTCATTTGGAGCAGCAGCAGGTTGGAAGTCCCAGGCGCGTTCATTACTGGAACAGGGACCTAAAGCATCTAAACCAATCAACCAGCATTAGCGACACTGTCGTTTGTGGCTGTGAATAGTGGTTGTAGTGGTTACCCAGGAATGTTTGTTTATATTTGTGCTGGCAACCAAGATGTTTGACAAGTACAAGGTCCCTTAATAGAAATGTGCAACTTTAGAAATAATATTTTGGACACTATAAAAAGAGATAAGTCTGCAGAAATTCAAAATACTTTGAAATCCAGAAAACTCAAAACTTGATTATGCAAGGAGGAATATCAGAAACACTTGTGTTATTGATAATTATTTGTAATACTTATATACGGATAGATGTAGCTTATTTTTTATTTCGATATTGAACTGATTTTAGTTATTGTTACAATCGAGATCCTTATTTAATTTCTTCTTGTGTGTAAAAGGCTTATATTGTTGCATTCTTCCATTTTTTTAATCAACTATTATATGTTGGTGTTTTTTTAAACATGGTACTATTGTGGTCTACTTTCCTGTTTGTTTGAAGGGGCATGCTGAGCATCCTGTAAATACCAATGAACTTTGATAAAAGCTATGTACATTCAAGAATATTTGCTTGGATAATGGTTTCGGTTGTGAAGATAAGAAAACTACTAAATGCACATTATTATATTGTTCATTCTGCAGTTCACATAATGTTTCCACCATTTTAATTGCTTTAAAAATATATGGAATATCAATCTGTAATTTAGGCTAAGATCCATTACAAACAACTTGAAAAATATCATCTGCTTCTTGAAATATTTTATCACATCAAATATATCAAAAGAAAGCAAGAGCAAATCACTGAATTGAAACCCTGCATAAATGTATTTTTATATCAAACATGACACCTTATACATTGCATGCACATCTTATAAAAGCTTGGAAAACATCCCAATTTGACTCGGCATTATTGGAGTAGTGTAATGTTATACTGCATAGAGTAGTTACCATGTGACTGAAAGGTACATCATGACATACAGACTGGTACATGTATCTAGTAATCAATATATTGGTGCTCTAGCTATGAGACACTGCAGCATGGTACATATACTTAGTCTCACTCTGATCTTGTTTGAGCCGTATGAGTAGATTTGGTCCTGTGTGCCAATACAGTAGCATAAGGTAATGGAATTGATACGTGATTGATTTTCTGAAATATTTTCATCTTTATATTTCTTTGATATTTTCAATTTTTACTGCTTGCCTGCAGATTCATGCTTTATACTTGCCTGCTTGGTTCCATGTGTTTACTACATTTATTTATTTGGAGTTTCAATGGGGTTTTTTAATACTGCTGAAGCTTACATTTATTTTATGGACCAAATTTTTCTACCAATAAACCTCTGTTCAACAAGCAGTTACAGAAACAAGACTATTTAAATAATTCATTAGATTTAAGTTTATCAGCGTTATCAAGGATCATGTGGCGAGACCTTGAAGTATGACCATTAGTTACTGACCTACTTTATTATCAGGATAGTTTGGGTGAGTGCACTATACCCTACATGTGATATAAGTATTTCAATATTTATTCTACATGTATATAAAACATGACAATAACAATAGTGTGGATGTTCACATTATTGTTGAATTTCTTTAGAAAGTATCGGTTTATTTGTGACTACATAGTCCATAGTGGACATGTTCTTAAGCACTTACTGATCAGCAGTATAAAAATACCCTAGTAAATTCTAAATTAAAATTGCATTTAGTGCCTGTGTCACTTATTGTATGAAACTTTTTTATTGTAAAATTCATGCGACCAGTGTCACTCAGATAAAAAAAATCATGTATTTTGGATTGATGTATTAAAATTACAAAGCCTCAGATATAATTATAGGACATGAATGATTTACAGAATAAATGTATCTAATCATAAAAAGGGATTGAACTTAGTAGAAATCAAAGCAGAAGTGAAAGTTGTCTCATGTGCCTGTAGATATTTAGTTTTGGTATTGTATTTCAAAATACCTAGCACAGGTCGTTTATGTTGACTAGGCTATTAATAGCAGTGTTTGTGTTTCGGTTTCCTTAACGCTACCCTGACCCACATGACCCGCTTATTGATCCAAAGGTCTATGTAGTGGCAGTGGTGGGTCTGGATATATTAATGATCACTATGTACATATGTCCACGTAAAGGCCTGTAATTGACCAGTCAGAAGCTGTGAAAACTAAAGGAAAATGTAAAAAGTCAGAACTACGTGGAATTACTTTATAAAAAGTTGATGCCATAACTAAATTTGACTGGAAGCATCCCTAGGTGGTGGGGATTCAAAATTGTACAAATGGTTGGGCTGAGTGGCGGGGCCAAAAGGGGGCAATTTGACTATATTTCTTAAACGACTTCTTCTGTGGAACTATGCCATGGATTTCGATCACATTTGGTTGGAAGCATTCATGGGAGGCAGGGATTCAAAATTGTAAAAATGGTGGGGCTGACTCCCCAGGCTAAGGGGTGAGACCAAAAAAAGTTTATTACTTGGAAATGGTTGAGATCCCCACCATATAACCATATAAAAGTAAACAACGTTGGAAACAATTTTGACAAATAGAAGTTTATTTTGGGGCATTGAATTCAAGCTTCCTGTTTCGTTAACACATGAGGTTGAGCTCAATCAAACAAAATTTCCCTAATATCTTACATCCCTTACATGTCGTAAAATTCCCAATAAAAAAGGCCCCAGCCCTTTAGAAAAAATGTGATTTGGAAAACCTTTAAGCAAAATCTAGACCTACGTAAATTTTAAATTTGGAAGAGTCCAGTAAATCGACCCTGTAAACACTTGACAAAATATGGACATTTAAAGTACTCTTTCCTTTTTGTTTCGTCTTCATTAAATACCAACACAAAAAATTATTCTAACCAATTCTTTGTGTAGCCATGAGAAGAGTAATACATTTTTGAATTGAAAATCTGTTAAAAATGCTTTATGTATTAATATGACATATATGTAGTCTTGTGTAAAAAACATTTTGGAATAACAAAATGTATGATGGTACTGGTAAGCCTGTACTACAAAAAATTGTTTTACAGTGATTATGAAATAAGTTCTGTCAGCTTTGGAAGGGTGTAGAGCGTCTTTAATGTGTGAAGAAACCAGAATACCGGTGGGAAAACTGTTTGGTCACTCAGGCAGGTGACTCAATATGTAAACACATTCTTTCTGCGGTGTGTGGTTAAAGGCGATTGGTCTTTCCACTGCCCATAACCCATAACCATACTTCTTAATTATGATGATTTTTAAATGTTAGATCATTTACATTTATCCAAGTTCTAACCTACATGTAATATTATTTGATTGATACTACAAGGATGTCAATGAGGAACTTGTGCTATTCTATTGTAATACAAAGTTCTGAAGATGTCTTAGTATACGATCTGATTTCAATCAAATAATGACAGTGATGGTTTGCAGAGTATTTGGTGTAATTTTAGAACCAATTTCCTGTTAGTCCTAGAAATCATTTAAATGATTGTTAAGTTTGATTTTTGTTTAATTGTTTTTGTGTTATTATTTCAATCATACGGTGTATTAGATTATTTTCATTCTTTTGGTCTGTTTAATTGTTGAAAGTGCTGTGTATATAAATTTAGTAAATGTGCTTTGTATATAAAATTTGTGTTGTGAACTTACAATGGTAACGAGAGCAAATGAAATGTTGAAAAAGGATGTTTTATACAAATGTGTTATTAGTGGACAATTATTGTGATTATTTCTTAATTTATTGCTGAAATGACAAATAATTTGTATAATTACACCCAGTCAGATATGGTATTCATTTATATCCCAATTATAAACACCAGGTGTGTACATGCTGTAGGTACCAGGTGCATGTGGATATAATATTGAATGTGTTATATGTACGTTGTGTTTTATAAATATAAGTAATACATTTATTGAACTTGTTCCTCTTGGCTTACTACAGAACCACTTAATTTGATTATTGCACTGGGAACTAATCAAATTTGAACAAGCTAGGCAGTCTTAATAAAACAAGTGCAACATAATTCATTTATGGGTAGAGATGAATACTGTTGTTTACCTCTAAAAATTACATGACACTGTACAAATGAATTTAATGTTGCAACAAAATCCACATACTTAACATAGTGTGTGTATTGTTATGCTTCATTCTTTATAGCAGTATAAAGAATATAATATTTGATTGTACATGTCAAGAATTTTTTTGTTATTTTTTTTTGCTTTGTTTTTTATTAGTTACTAGAAATCAGCTCACATATAACTTATTTGTGATGTTACTATAGATAACTGGTACAATTGTACATCTTTCCTGTGGTTATTATAGAATTGTTGTTTAAAATGTAAAATGTATACATTTTGTTTTGGTTTCTGCCATTTCTGTTTAAATATTTTCACCGAATGTAAATTTCATTAATTTGATCAAGAATACCCTGGTGAATTGATTTAATAAACACCTTATCAGAGAAATGTTAATTCTTTTATTTGGAAGCAGATTATAACAGCAATTAAGTTGATTTAGAACACACTTTTTTTTAAATGATAAAGAGTTTAATTTGCATTATGTAAATGTACTGAGCATATTTTTGCTATGATGTCTGGTATGCAAATGTTTGACTGTAATCTGGTATTCACATGATTTGTTCTGTATATCCGTCACATAAAACCACCTCATAAAATCCATTATCTTGTAGTTTAAAGCATTAAGGTTTATAAATGTGATAATTTCCAATATTCCTGTGTACCATTGATTATTGAAGGGTTAGATAAGGGTATAAAACAGGGTAATACAGAGTGTGCTCTTGTGTTAATGCTCTCCTCAGTGGGTTGAAAACCTGTTGATCAGTGATTCCTGACATCATCTTCAAAACTTTGATGAGCCCAATCACAATATGTACTAAGAGTTACATTGGGGTCTAGTCTCATTGGAAAATACAAGTCTTGGACTCATACAGGTGTCCCAGAAATCACTATGTAGTAGCTATCTGTCATTAAACTATACATTTAATCTATACATGCATGAATATAAACTCTGTTTTCGTAACAATTTTATTATCCAAGGACAAAAAATTAGCATGAAGCTATGTATAAAGGAAATCCTGCTCAAATCCATTGTCGACGAAATTAGCTGTCATGAATTGATAAACATTTGGTCATGGTGATAAGTGACCCATAAACACTATTATTACCTAGTATATATTTACTGTGACACATGGTTCAATTTGGTATTGATTCAATTAATTCTGTAGCAATTTCATCATTACTTGGGTTCATTCGCCCCTGAAAACACCAGAAATCTTTTAGAAATATCTACTGTGTATGGCTCGCACGGTACACTGCATTGTTTCATAATAAATTCATTGCCAAACGCCTTAAGGTTAATGCAAGATGTCTTGATAATAATTGCAATTTAAATGTATTTATACAAGTATGTTTTTAGTGTATTATTTAGTTTGTGAAGTTTTTTACTTTATAGTATTTCATTTGTGATGAAAGTACTTTTTTTTCTTTTTGCCAAGATCAGGAAATTTTATGTCTTATGGTATGCCAGAAGTGCTATCGATTTGACAAGACATACCTCATTTGGTTATTATATGTTACTATGTACAATATTAATACTAACATGATATATATTAGCCCATAGTGTAGATGTGTTTGTCACTCCTTATGTCTGTACTCGGAAGGCGCCCTCATCATGGAACACTTTGATTTTATTGTTGCCTCTTTTTTTCTTCAATGCTATATAAAATCTCTTTTTTTTTCAATGCTATATAAAATGCAGTTTTTGTGTCGCCTGCGAAAAGCTGGTGACACATAGGTATTGCTATGTTGGCACAGAGGTTTTCGTGCGATTACTTGGAGTTTCCTTGGGCCGATCAAACTCAAACTTCATGCAGTGCTTCCTTACCAAAAGTGCTTGCTTGGGATTGCTTTTCAGGTCCAAAGGTCAAGGTCACTGTTGCTATAAATAGAAAGCAAGTTCCTTAAAACTCAGAGTATTCTTCCCAGAATAACAGATTATATAACAAAATGATGCCATCCAAAAACATAATCTATGATTACTGCTTACTCTAACATTATTTCATGAAATGAAAAGTGTATCTATTTCTTCGTAATCTCCCAGCTTCCTGCGCAGGCGACACATCCACTTTCGTGGAATTCTTGTTCATATGAATAAATAAATAAATCCATTTACATGTATATATACATGTATTTTTTTTTACAATTAGGATTTCCTGTAAATTGAAGGTTCCAATATACCCTATTCATCTTACTGATATTACCAATTAATTCATTCACCCCTGAAATTTCATCTTTGAACTATTCAAACCTTTGTATTGGAAGAGTTCAAATGTGTCTTCAGGGGTGAATGAGTTAAATGTAACAAATGCAAGCATGGTACAACAGATTGTGTATGAGGTTATATTCATTACGAGGTATTTCAACATTTCTTTGTAAGAATTCAGACTAGTTTTGAAAATGTTCAGTGTTGAAAATGTTATATGTTAAAATTGATCAATTACCAGCTTCATACGATACTGTATGTATACATGAATGATCAGAATTGTGTAAGTTTATAAGAATACAGATGTGTTATAAAACATGTAGGATTTTTAACTTGGTCTAGAGTAGTCGGACTGTAAAGGGCCAACATATAAACGCTTTAATATTGCAGTGCTAGTAGAATGTGCAGATTATGAGCTCCATTTATTGTTTTATGTATTTAATTATCATTTTAATGAAATCATGAAGTTTCCATTTTCCGAAATATTTTTCTTGATGTGAATCACCAAGAAGATGTTTAAGCTAATGAATTGGAGTAAAAATGTATTGGGTAGTCTAGCAAATAGTGATGAAATATTAAAGATTTTATTTTATACCTGAAATCCTAATTAATTATACTGTTTCAATTTTTTGGCACACATAATGCATACAAAGTATGTTCATAGTATTGGCATATTTTATAATTGGAATAGTGTTTCCTTTTTTGGGGGGGGGGGGGATATGAATAAATAAATAAAAATATTGAAGCCACAGAGCCAGAATATGTGGCATCAAATTTCTACTCCTGGGAAATCCAGCCAGAGATGGTGTGGAGCCCACACTGTGAGCACTTGGTGCAAAGCTCTACTAGGGGTGTTATTGGCATTATAAGACTTACAGAAAATTGGCATATCAGTTCGCCATTAGTCTTTTACAGCATGGTAT